CACACATAATCACAACAACANACAGCACAGCTCTTCACACCCAAATCAATACATCAATGGACATGTAAACAACAATATCAACAAAACCATCAACATTACCAGCTCCCTAACATTAATGACAGTAGTAGCAGCAACAACAACTAAAGCAACTAAAAAGATAAAAATATCTACAGTGACAGCAACAAATACATCAACGATATCAACAATTGCTTGGACATCATCATCAACAACAACAACAACCACAACAACAATAGCATCAATATCAACAACAACAAAATCAACAACAACAAATTCAACAACAACATAAATATTAACATGAAAAACAACAACATCAACAAAAACAACAACAATAATATCAACAACAAAAACAACAATATTAACATCAAAAACAACAACAAAACAATAATATCAACAACAACATCAACAACCACTAATGAAAACATCCACAACGTTACACATCATTGAGTCCTCAGAACTCAAAATCAACATCTACGCAATGAAACTAACTCACCCAGCCAATGAAATCCCTCCATTTGAAGCAAGCACCGCCTCTTCAACGCCAATCATCGTTATCGTAATTACTTGATTAATTTTTCACTCCAATACACAAAAGATCGGCGACCAATAGGAATACTCACAGGCTGGTAGGCGGAGTCCACATTTGAAAAGACGAGACGTGATTGATGGATAGCTAATTAAATCTTTGAACAATACTACGCAAGCAATCTGGCCAAATAAATTTATATGCTTGTTGTAGCTGTGCTATTGAGACATGCAAGTATATATATATATATATATATATATATATATATATGTATATATATATATATATAATATGTTCTTTATGTTCAGTTGCCAATATATATATATATAGTCTATATGTACACAGTAAACTACATATATATATATATATATATATATATGTATGAATATATATTTACATGTGACCCACACTTTATACATGTAAACACATATAGATATACATACATGCATATGATTAGTTATAAATATGGTGAATGAGTTGATCGTCTAACAGATTTAAACGATTGCGAAGAAGGAGCCAGTTTGTTTGATTGTATGTATGTGTGTTTATGTACACATCTCGTCTCATTAGTGGTATTTTATTTAATAAGAATTTGTCGCTTGCTATTAATTAATATTTTTTTTTTAAATTAATTTCGTTGTTGTAGTCAATTATCATTGATTAATTAAAACAATTTAACGGTTGATCTGATTTGATGGTAAATTTTTTTCCCAGAATTTTGTGAAAATTTGAATATTGAATGAGCGTTTAGATAACTTTTCATAAATACGTCACCATAATATTCTTTTGGATATGTTTAAAGACTGAAAAACCAGCTTACTGCTACAACAACAATCACAACAACAACATTCATATGACGTATAACTTTATTGGAATTTATTGATCAGAATCTTGGAAAATTCGTCCAAATAATTACAGTTGGTTAGTAATACAATTAGTAAATTTACTTTTTAATCAATTGATCAATCAGTGAATTAGTTAACTAACTAATTGACTAACTAAATAGCGTATCGGTGAATAATAAATATGTAACCAACCGCAGAATATAAGTTTTATTTATGCACGTAAAATTAACTCTATAATAAATGTTTGACACTTTGTTTTGTTGAAAGCTATCAACACAAAATACCTTACCATCGTTAACATCAACAAAAACAACATTATCAACAACAACAACATTATCAACAACAACAATTTACTAAACCCTACTTAAAACGGCAAACCGTTGCACAGAGGGAATGGTTATGGGAATGGCGGTAAAATTTGTTGAAAAAAATGTCAACATTTTATAAACTGTAAACAAACCGTAACAACAACAACAACAATAACAACTGCAACAACAACAATAATAATAATAATAATTAGTAAAATTCCAGATAATATTTTTGACAGATATCGATTGACCAGCTAAAAAGACGATGAATTTTTCATTTCAACACTGAGTGACAAACAAGTGTTAGTGAGTTGTTATTAATATTTCATTATTATTATTATTAAAAATTATTATTATTGAAAATTATTTATATTATTGAAAATTATTAATATTCAAAATTATTGTTGTCTTTTAAGAGGGTAATTTTTCATTTTATATATGAAAATGTTAATTTGAATTTAGATCTTTTTAGTGAAAAAGATCTCAAAAACTTCCTAAAGAAATATTCCGATTTTAATCTTGAGGAAATTTTCTTCGTTAAATTTAGATAGAATTTGAAAAACATCATTTTAGTTAAAATATTTACAAACCTATTACACAACCAACCAACCTTAGACAGCCAGCCACAACCAACCAATCAACCAACTAGATGATTGGCTCCGTAGAAAACTCCGTGAACCAGGCCACCACCACAAAAACGTCATCGACAACGTCATCGACGACATCATCGCCGTCACCGTCGCTTTCTTCATCGTCGTCGTCTCCGATCACACCTCTGAAGCAAAACAACAGCACCATGTTGTCGTTCAGCGTCGAGGCAATCATGGCTTGGAAGAGCGAAAAGGCAAAGAATTCTTGCAACTCCATCCGACCACAGACGTACCTGTCGCTACCGTCGCAAACACAACCAGATCTCACTACCTACAACCACCACAACAGCCACTACATCAACAACAGCCACGACAACAGCCACAGCAGTTCAAATAGCAACCACATTGATGACAAATCCTTAGTATTTTCAACATCCTCACCGCCACCAACAATAACGACAACAAAACGAGACGAAACAACAAAAAACACTGACGACGACGACGACGATGAGGAAGATGACGACGACGAACTTGATGTATCTGACATGAACAACGATAGCAGTAGGAATCACATCAAAGACATCAATCAAAACAACAACAACATCGACAACAACAACATCATCAACAACATCGATGATAAAGCTTCAATAATTTTATCATCTTCAATGACAACAGCGCTAACAACAATTAAACAAAACGAACTCCAGGACGACGACGACGACGACGATGATGACGACCTTGACGTTTCCTATTGTTCGGATGATGACATTGACGAACATGAAAACGATACACCGCCGACGTCATCATCGCCGACTTCCTGTAATCATCATCAACATCATCATCCTCCTACTCATCATCATCAGCATCATCATCAGCAAGCTCCATATATATCCATGCACGAGGCCGTTAAATGGTCAGCCAATGCACTACAGTACCCGTGGATTAGTGCTGGTAAGTTATGTTGGTGTGTGTTTGTATATGTTTGTGTTTGTATGTGTTTGTGTGTGTGTGTTTGTATTTTGTATGTGTTTGTATATGTTCGTGTGTGTTTTTATGTATTTTTATGGGTTTGTGTATGTTTGTATGTGTTTGTGTATGTTTGTATGTGTTTGTGTATGTTTGTACGCTTACGTATGCTTGCGATTTGAATGTTCGGGCTCACTCTTGTACCACTGTTTGTGTTTTGATGTTTGTATGGTTTGTGTTTGTTCGTCTTTGCTTGTCTCTGCATGTATTACTGTGTGTTTGTATAGTTTGTGTTTCTGTATAGTTAGGCTTGTTTGTTTGCCTTTGTATGGTTGTGTATGTGTATAAATAATGTTTAATATTTATGTTTCTTCGGTTTAATCGTGTCAGTTGTATGCTTAAAAATAGATTTTGTATTTATGTATAATATAACGACGCTGTAATGGTATTAACGGGTAAGTATTGTTTTGTATTGTATTATGTTGTATTGTATTATGTTGTATTGTATTGTTGGGTATTGTTAATTTGTGTTGTATGTATTTGCGCGAAAATTTGTTAATTCAGGTATCTCATATGTTCATCTATTTTTGCTTCATTTACTTTATAAACTGCACTCTTTGTGTGCATTTTAGTCTCTTCTATCACACATGCTTTTTCTCTGTATTCTGCTTGATATGATGTTTGTATTTTGTATATTTGTTCATTCAGTCCATCATTTCATTCATTCGTTCATTCTTTCATTCGCTTGTTCGTTCATTCCTCTAGTTATTTTATTGCTCACTAATCCATTTCTAAATAGCCTTACTTGTTTATGTTCATGTTTAGCAAAGACAACAGTAACAATGACAAAAACAAACAACAACAACAACAACAATAATAATAAAAAGTTTGGCTACCAGTGAAAAATGTAAATTAATAAATAATAAAATGCATTGCGCACCACCTGCCTGTCTCACTGACACCTCATTAACATATCTAACATTCAACTTACAAATTCGTCCTTGACTTTTAAATATGCATAATAATTAGCTAATTGATTAGATGTGCTGGTATATAAGTTATCTGATCATAAAACAAATGGATGGATGGATGAATGAATGAGCGATTGATTGTGTGATTGGATGAATGAACGAACGAACGATTGATTGGATGGATGGATGGATGGATAAACGGTTAAGAGAATGAGTGAATGAATGACTTGGATAATAATAATTTAATAAATGAATGAATAGATGAATGAATGAATTAGTGAATGAATGAACTGGTAAAGAAATGAAGGAATGGTTTAATTAATAAACAAACAATTACAAAACCCATATAACATACGAAGAATACATAGATTGATCAAATGATGGAATGTAAAAAGAAGGAATAAGCACTCATTTGACTCTATTAAGGAATATAAATCAAAGATAAATAAATTAATTGATTAATCAATCGATCAATTAATCAATCTTCCTGTCAATTAATCAATCATCCTGACAATCATTTAATTAACTAATTAGCTCTAACCCAAGATCCAAAGTACATTTTATTTTCCGATCAAAAAAACTTTTCATCGAGTATTTTATTCACTTCATATTCTATCAATCACACGCGTTTAAAAAATATTCTGATGAATCACACGCACGCACACACACATACACACACACACACATACATATATATATATATATTTATATATATATATATTATTATTATTATTATTATCGAAAATTTGTATAGCGCTAATTACAAACAAAATGTTTCTCAAAAGCACTGTCTAAAAACAGTTGAATTGCTACGGTAAACCAAATCTTATAATGAAAACAAAAATGATTTCAATAATTTCTTGAATGATCTTTTGTCTTGTCTTGAATGATTTATATATTTATATATATATAAAGAGAGAGAGAGAGAGAGAAAGAGAGAGAGAGAGAAAGAGAGAGAGAGAACTAGAAAACGGAGGAATTACAGAGACAGAAGAAGTTAGAAGGAAAAAGAGAAAGAAAAAGAGAAAGAGAAATACCGATAGAAGAAGAGAAATTTTTGTAAATTTTAATAAAATTAGTTCTAGTTGGGCAATTAAAAAATAATGATTCACATCAATCTACCGCTCAGACCGCCAAGAGACCATTATCATCTATTTGATGTTTTCATTGCTATCTAACATTTTGCTACGCTACGACTACTACTGCTGCTACAACTGCTGTTGCTGTTACTGCTACTACAACAACTACTACTATTGCTGCTACTGCTACTACTATTTTTATCGTTAGTGGTACCAGTTGAGTAATTAATTAAATAAAACCTCTTAATTGCTTAATTAATGCAAATTTTTCTCATTTCAATAGCAAGCAATTTGTATACCAGAATTTGAGCAATGCATTATATTAAAGTAGAAGCCCCACTAATTGTAATATTATAATGAAGCATGGAGTATCTAATTAGCATTTAAAAGTAATTAATCTACCTGCTAAATCTTTAATGAATTTCTAAATTACTAATGTTACTGACAGCAACAAAAAATAAAATTATTTTAGACGTATTTATTGAAGTTGCAGAAGTAGCAACGATAGCGGCAGCAGCAGTTATAGTAGTAGTGGTAGTAGTAGTGGTAGTAGTGGTAGTAGTAGTGCTACTAACACCTCCATAGCAGGTACCAGTTCATTAACATGAGTGGCCTAATTAACAGTTAATTAGGCGAACGCAACGACAACAATTGCTGTTAACACAACAACATCAACAACAACAACATCAAGTCAAACGAAGCCTGGCTGAACAACAATAATTTTATAAAAACCACAATAGCAACAACAACAATAGTGATAAAAATAAGAGGAAGAATAATAACATCAAAAACCATAAAAAAACTCAACAATCAATTATTGTAATCAATTAAACCAGGCATTGAACAAAGCTAAACAAACATTCAATAGCAATAACAACATTAACAACAACAACAACAAAATCATCAACGACTACAACAATAACACAACAATAAGAACATCTTCAAAATACTTTTAAATGTTCTATGAAGCATGTAAAGTCAATTTGCATGACGGTGCCCTAGGCTATTGATTGGATAGCTGGTTGGTTGGTCGATTGGTTGTTCGATTGGATAGCTGGTTGATTGGCTGATTGGATGGTTGGTAGGTCGGTTGGATAGTTGGTTGGTCGTTTGGATGGTTGATAGGTCGATCGGATTGTTGGTTGGTTAATTAATTTATTGATTGGTTGGTTGGTCAGTTGGTTGATCAGTTGATTGATTAGTTTGTTTTGGGTTGATTGGTTAATTGTTTTATTGATTGGTTGGTTGGTTAGTTGATTGATTGATTGGTTTGTTCGAAAGATTGCAAATTTTTTCAACGAGACAGTTGAGCATTTATATTGTGTGATGACATGGTCATTTGTGTTTTAATTGCTTCCTATCAACAATTGTTCATTTGATTATTCATTCGTTTATTCATTCGTTTATTCATTCGTTTATTCATTTGTTTATTCATTTGTTAATTCATTCGTTTATTCATTCGTTTATTCATTCGTTTATTCATTCATTCATTCATTCATTCATTCATTCATTCATTCATTCATTCATTCATTCATTCATTCATTCATTCATTCATTCATTCATTCATTCATTCATTCATGCTGTTTGTTCATTAACTCATTTAGTAATTTATTTGTAGATACACGTTATTGGTATAGTATCCTAATTTTATGTACGTACGAATGTACGTATGTCTGTTTGTCTCTCTGTCTGTTTTTCTGTCTGTCTGTCTGTGTCTGTCTGTGTCTGTCTGTCTCTCTGTGGGGTTGATTTAGCAGGCAAATCTGTTCTACATTGTTGTGTCTGAAGACGACGATGACGATGAGTTATTCTTTAATGTTGTAACAATAAGACGACGAGCTATCTTGAAGTTGCACTTTATTCATCATTTCGAGATGGTGATGATGACGACGACGATGATGATGACGATTAACAATAATGATAACAAACTTTATAACGTAGAAATAATGAGGATGATGATGAAGAAGAAGATGATGATGACGACGATAATGATGACGGCGATTAGCAATAATGATAATAAACACTATAACATAGAAATAATGATGATGATGATGAGGAGGATGAGGAGGAGGAAGATGATGATGAATGTGACGCAATCATCTTCCCCATACGATAAACAGAGCAGAACGCCATCGTAATGTAATGTTTTGAGTGTATGTTACTCTATTTCAACCACGTTTAAACGTTTCAACACGCA